TTGTTTCCAAGTGTGGAACTGGAGAAAAAAAAAATGCAGGGTTTGGGAAAGGATACTAGTGGAATTCAGGCAGGCACAAGAAATCAAATTTGAGAAGCTGTCTGATATGGCCCCTTTTCCTCTGATCCAACTTTTCCTCAATCTGGTGCCATGGAGATGTGCTGAAGAACAGCTTCCATCATTGTGGAAGACCCCAGATTCCAAAAAGCAAGGAAAGCCTTTTTTTCCAGGTCCTTGGAATTCAACCCCCCAGCCCCCAAGATGCCTTACTGAAGGGTGGCCAAGAAGGCCTTAGAATCCTTAATCGTTTGCTAGACATTCTGGACCAGAATGTTTCTCCAACTTGCAACTCAACCGTAGACCTCAACTCCCAGAATTCCCCAGTCAGCATGAAGTTGTCATGGTTGAGAAACAGTGATCTAGACAAATGCCAGTTGGGTTTCCTTTTAGACAAACAAAAACTGCTGACGTCAGGGAAAGTGTGCCATGGTTAACACCACCAGTGTTTACAGGGTTTGGGTGACGAAGATACCATGATCTAAGTGCTAGATCTAAGTGCTATGTAACTACATAGCCAAAAAGGCATTAAGAGTTGTTAACCTAATCCTACGTAGCTTTTTCTCTGGTAATATCACACTACTAACTAGAGCATACAAAACATTTGCTAGACCAATACACAGCTCATCAGTTTGGAACCCGCATTATGTATCTGATATTAACACAGTTGAGAAAGTACAGAAATATTTCACAAGAAGAGTTCTCCACTCCTACAATTGTTGCAGAATACCTTATGCCACCAGACTTGAAATTCTAGACCTAGAAAACCGAGAACTACGCCGCCTTCGATCCGATCTAAGTATAGTATATAAAATCATACTTTGCAATGTCCTACCTGTCAATGAATACTTCAGCTTCAACCATAACAGCATAAGAGCAAACAATAGATACAAACTCAAGGTTAACTGCACCAAACTCGATTGCAGGAAATACGACTTCAGCAACAGAGTGATCAATGTCTGGAATATTCTACCTGACTCTGCGGTTTCTTCCCCAAACCCCAAAAACTTTAACCTTAGACTGTCTACTATTGATCTCACCCCAGAGGTCTATAGGGGGTGTATATAAGCACACCAACGTGCCTACTGTCCCTGTCCTATTGTTTCTTTTTATTTTTTTTATATGTATCCATTTCATGTACTCATAACTATGTTTATACTTATACCTATTATCTTATAAGCGATTGACAAATCAAAATAAATAAATAAATAACAGAAGAGAAGCACACTGTCAGAGTACAGAACTTAACATATGATGCCACACGAAACCTATAAAGTGAAAATCATGACCAGAGATATAGCTTGCAGCAAAATAAACAGTGAGATCCATCAGCTGCTGGTATATTTACTGTCATGTGTTTCATGGGTGAAGGACTATTATACCAATGCTTGGGTAACACATTGGTTAATCTTTTAAAGGAATTGACAAGAAGCCAGGTGTTTTTTTGGTTTGTTTCAGCTTGGCAGAGTTTTGGTGGGTATAAACATTCAAAATTAAAATGGCCAAATTTTCCTCTAGGAAGCCAGAAAGGAAGCAGCACTTGATACCTGAAGCTTCTCCTGGTTGCTGGTACGGATGATCGAGGTGACAATATCTGGTAGAGCTTCTCTGGGTAGGTTGTCCAACAAGCGTCTCAGTTTTGCCACCGCCGGGATGGACATATCCAACATCTCCACCAGCTTGGTTAAAGAAGGGGGGGGGGAGAGATAAATGCATAGCAACATTTTAATATTCATTCATATCACTGGTATCATCAGGAAACACAGAGTTCCATTCAGATTCCATCCCAATGCAAGGAATTACAGTGTCATTAAAAGAGGGGGGGGGAAATCATTTGTATTATTCAGCAGGATAAACCAATACTATTGGATAGGACCAAAAGAAAGGGCCCATCCATTTCTTATATTTCAGCTATGCTAAGGTCGTTTTTTTTTTTGGAGCGATTTGCCCAACCAACAGAAGAATGTGACTCAAAATCTGAAGGGTGCTTTTTCTATACCATTTAAGCACTTTTCGGACACAACTATCTTCAGGATTCGACATCGGTGAGACTTCTTCTTCTTGGGGCCAAGCAGCAGCTGTTTTGAGGATGACGACAGGAATCTCATCCTCAAACGATTTTATCCGAAAAATAAAAACATAAACTTTTTGTGCTCTTGGTCAGAGAAGCAAGCATTTGAATGCTCTGGCTGCCAGAACTGGAGAAGCTTCTTGGATGAGAAGCAAAATGTCTTCAAGGGATAAACAAATTCAGTTCCCTTTTTAAAAAAGCACTTTTGGGACATTTGTACTGGATCCAATCTCTCTGGCATGGCCTGACCTCTTTTTTGCAGCTTGGATGAAAATGTGCTCTTCTTATCTACGAGAACATGTCCTCCTGATCCCAAACGCCTGAGAATATTTCAACAGGGAAAGGTAAACGATTAACATTGCATCAGCAACAAAGCGAGCACTTTGCCTCAATTCCTTTACACCCAGTGATTGTCGTAATTTCCTCAACAGATCATTCAGATATTTAGCACCATTTCAAGGCACCTAACCTGCACTGCATATTTATAGAATTGCTCCGGCAGTTCTCCCAGCTCCTCCTCGGACTTGTTGGTAAATTGTTCCAGCCGATCCAACTGCTCAACATCGGCAACGGGATAAGGTTTCTCCTTCACCAGCTGCAAAATCTGGAACCTGCAGAGGCCCGTTAACAGCAGCGTATAATGGGGCTTCGGCCAGTTGCTGCCAACCACCTGAATTGCCAGGGCAGCTGTGCCAATCCTGAAATGGCCAAGAAAAAGCAAGGGTTATTTGCCATGCCACAATAGGAATACACTCGAACGCTTCATTACCTATGGAACTGTTTGGGAAGATGTTGCCCCTAGCAAAGGGGCTAACTTTACAGGCAATCTTTAACTTAGGACTACAAACTGAGCCCAAAACTTCTGTTGCTATGCAAGACAGCGAAGTGAATTTTATCCCATTTCAAGACCTGTCTTCCCACCGGTGTTAAGTGAATCACTGCAGTTTTTAAGTTAGTAATTTGGTTGTGAAGTGAATCTGGCTTCACCATTGTCATAAAAGGGGATTGCAACAGTCATAAATATAAGTTAACTGCCAAGAGTTTGAATTTTGATCACGTGGACCATGGGGATGCTCCAACAGTCCTTAGGTGTGAAAAACGGTCATAAGTCACTTTTTCCAGTGTTGTTGTAACTTCAAAAGGCCACTAAATGAACGGTTGTAAGTCGAGGACTACCTGTCACCACAGAGCTCTTTTAGAAGGTGTTGTCCACGATAAAGGGGTTAACATTATCATGTTAGCAATGTTAGTCCTAGCCACAGGAAAGACTTAAAGATACTTTGGAAAACATTCCTGTTTTAGACAGGCATTTTCCTTAGAGATGTCTGTGATTGAACATGGAATATTTTGCATAGGGAACCCTTTCAATCTTTTTGACAGGATGAAACATTTGACCATTTATAAACCCAAATAAATTCAAGCACTAAAAAAACAATACACACTTTTGTTCATCGCATTTCTGCAGCGACTTTTTTTTTTTTGCTGAAAAAGAAAGCTGCTTTTTAACTTGACCAATCACTTGCTTTCTCACCAGTGGCAACTTCAGTTGTACGGAGTGTTTTCCTTAAAACTATGTCCCTCCTTGAGGACTTGACCTACATAAATGCCCATAATCTTCTCAAGCTACTTTCAAGAACAGAACACAAGACTCTCTGGTACTGGTGGGTTTTCTCACACCCTTTCATCTCAATCCGTTTCCAAAGCAAAGTTTCTAAAACTTGCAAGCAAACACTTTTGAACACCTGTTTCTATAAACTCCACATGTTCCTGCCATCGAAACAGAAAGTACACTTCTCATCCTAACTGGGCTCCACTCCTCAAGCACCATGAAACTGGATTGTCAGGCAAATTCATAACCTATTTCTTACATTTCCACAGTTGCCCAGAGACACCTTAATGGAGAAGATGGGCAGTATAAAAAATTATTTAATAACTAAATAAAATCTCACATACATGACCGTTGCTGTTGATACACAAAGACCAACCAATTTCGTTGTATACATGATGTACAATGACCATAAAGGCTATTATTACAGATTACAGACGAACAGAGTTGGAAGGGACCTTGTAGGTCATCTAGTCCCCCCCCCCCCAAGCAGGAGACTCTACACCTTTTCTGACAAATGGCAGTCCAATTTCTTCTTGAAAGTCTCAAGTGATGAAGCTCCCACAACTTCCAAAGGCAAGCTGTTCCTATGATGATGATTATTATTGCAAAATCTATACCAGGTTATGAGAGCTATGAAAATGGATTAAATCAGCAATAAAGCTCAATGTTTCAACTCTGATAAGGTAATAATTAGCTCCAATTAGTCAAGGGGCAAAGAGCATCCTTAGCCAGAAAGGAGAGGAAGGAGGGGGGCGGCAGTCGCCATGGCAACGGCGAACCTAGGTGTGATGGGAGGCTGGGGGAAAGAGGGAGGGTAGCACCGTGGCAACAGGCCGGACGGTGACCATGGCAACGCAAGGGAAGGTCTCCGGATTAAGACAGGTGGCGTGAGGAGGGGACCGAGGGGGCGTGGCCTTCCTGACGTCACGACCGCCACGTTGGGAAGGGCAACCGGGGGAGCTGGAGGTTGGGGGAGAGGGCGCCTGTTGCCATAGAGACCGCGGCGGGCAGGGCCGGATGCCGGACCTGTGGAGCGGCGGGAGGGCGTCGAGGTCGCTGAGCGGGTCCTTCGTGTCAGGAATGACGCCGAGGATGGTGCTCTTGAGCGACGTGCCCTTCAGCAGCCGGCTCCGCACCAGCTGCATGTTCCGCGGGGAGTCCACGCTGGCGCGCATGGTGGAGCCCGGCAGCAGCACGGCTTCGGGGGTCAGCAGAAGCGGCAGGCGGGTGGGGATTTGGATGGCGCTGCCTGAGGAGGACGCCATGGCCGGAGGCTTCGGATTCGTCTCTTCGGTCTCTCGCGCAAGCAAGGCTCGCGGCGTCGCGTCCGCGTTTGCAGGCCGCGCTACGGCGAGCGGCGAGGGGCAAACGACGCGAGCCGCGCGTGCGTGCTGCTCGCGGCCGCCCCCTCTGGCCGCGGCTGGCATTGCGCCTGCCGCTTTTAAGCCTGGAAGAACGAAAACATAATAAACAGAAGAGATAGAATAGAGCTGAAGGGACCTTGGAGGTTTTCTAGTCGAGCCCCCGGCTCAAGCAAGAGGAGAACAAACATTGCATGAAAACTAACAGCAACAAAAAACACAGAACAGTATCATCAGTTCAAGTGTGCATTTTAACGGCGTTTCTTGACACCTTGGTTAAGCGAGTCCCTGCCAAAAATTCGTAACGTGGTCTGAATCTGGATTCCCCGTTGACTTTGCTTGCCAGAGGGCTGCAAAAGGGGGAAATCACAGGACCCCGGGGGACACGGTGACCATCATAAATAGGAATCACTTGCCAAGCATCCAAATGTAAAATCTTGTCACCATGGGGAGGCCACAACAGTCATAAGTTCGGAAAATGGTCCTAAGTCACTTTTTCCAGGGCCGTTGTAACTTTGAACGGTCACTAAATGAACTGTTGTAAGTCGAGGGGCTATCTGTATTTGCCTGAGAGATGGGGAGGGAGAAAGGAATCAGGCGAGTTAAAAAAAAAACACCTTAAAAACGTTATTTGCACAATTAATTGCACAGCAATAGGGATGCTTCAGTACAGTATCTATGGAGATTCTCAGTCTTCCAGGTCATGGTTGTCCCAAAGATGTTTTTTTTCAAGAGACAACTGGACTTTCTGTTTTTTTTCTTTTGAAGACGGTTCACTTCTCATTCAGGAAGCTTCTTCCGTTCAACCCTAACCCAGAACTTGAAGAAGTGAGTTGAAGAAGAAGTGAGAAGTGAAATCTTTTCAAGGAAAGCAACCAAGTCTATGGAGATTCTCCATCATTCATAGTTGTCCCAAAGATATTTTTTCAAGAGCAACTGGACTTTCTGGTTTCTCTTTGAAGATGTTTCACTTCTTATCCGAGAAGCTTCTTCAGCTCTGACTGGATGGTGGGGAAGCTTCTTGGATGAGAAGCGAAATGTCTTCAAAGGAAAAAAACAAAACAGAAAGTCCAGTTGCCTCTTGAAAAAACACCTTGGGGACTTGAAACTTTGAACCAGAGATGGTATTCAGCCAGTTCTGATAGGTTCTGGAGAACCGGAAGCAAAAATTTTGAGTAGTTCGGAGAACCGGCAAATCCCACCTCTGACTGGCTCCACCAACCCCATCTATTATCCGCCTCCCATTGAGTCCCAGCTGATCGGCTGGTTCTTCTTTGGTTGCCCTGCACAGGAGAACAGAGCTGGAAAGCAGGTTAGTGGGGTGGGGAGGAAATGGGGATTTTGCAGTAATCTTCCCCTACCACACCCAACAAACCACACCATGCCCTCCAAGCCACGCCCACAGAACCGGTAGTAAAAGAAATTGAATCCCACCACTGCTTTGAACGCTTGCTGAATAAATCGTCTTAAGTCGAGGACTTCCTGTACATTTTTAAGCCTTCAAGACAAGGAAATGCAGAGTTGCGAAGAGCAGTTCAAAAGTTGACTATTATATGAAGTTTGGACTTTCAGATTACAGAATTAGAGAGAGACAACTGCTGTGGTCAAGGAAGAAACCAATTATTTTTCTTGGAAAAATTCTAGATACAGTGAAACAATTCCAGACTCTTTCCTCTTGCTATATCATCTTATGACCACAAGGTGTCAGGGCATGACATATTATTTGATTTCTCAAGCTTTAATAAATGGGATGTTTTTAAAAAAGACTTATCAGCAGATGACACTCTCCCCCCCCCCCTTAAATAAATCCTTTAAATGCTTTATTGGGACCCACTGAAATCGAGTTAACCTGGTTTCATTATGTATATGTATTAGCTCAAAAAAAATAAAAGATTAAATCATGCGCTCTCTCTCTCTCTCTCTCTCTCTCTCTCACACACACACACACACACACACACACACACACACACACACACAGATGTTTAAACTCAACATGTTCCAGTGTATCAAAATCAAATGGAGAGCTTTGCTCAAGGAAAAAAAAATACAAATATCTTTGTTTCTACCTGGAAACCGCTTCTGGACTTTGTGCTTGAGATAGGAAAAAAACCCAAAACTTTAGATAGATAGGGTGTTACGGAAATGGCTTCTTTATATTACTATGTAAAACTAAAAAGTTGTGGTTTGATGTTGTGACCCTATTCTACTGCACCAAAGGGAGTCAGAAGTCAATGCCTTTTCTTTCTTTTTCCCCCTTTCCCCCCACACTTTTCCCTTCCCCCTTTTCACTCCTTCATAGAAAGCAATAACTAATAATTGAAAGATAGTGGCTGCGTGTCATCTTATCACCAGCCTGATCACTTGCTGGCTTCATGTATTGTGCCACGCTACAGTTTATTCAACCATAGTTGATCGCATTAACCATCATTAGCAGAGTTCTTAAAACTCCATAAACCATGTTTTATTGATCGTGGTACGTTTGGACATTTTTAAAAACCAGAATGAAACAATCCACTCTGTGGATTAACTAATTCTGTGAAGCCGGCTTTAGAAAAGGACCAGGAGTGAAGCAATGCACTTTACCCATGTGACTTTTCCAAAAACATTAGCCTTGGGACTGGTCAGCCACTAGGGCCGTTCCGTCCCAATCATCAGTCTCTTTTTTCCTAATGGCCACAAGCTTGGGAATTTTTCCAATCTATGCACCTAGAACTGCCCAGACTGAAGATGACTCAGCCGGTGACTTCAAGGAGCAGAATATTATCATCTTTTATTTTAAAAACCAGTCTCTATATTTCTCTTAAATGACCACGGATTAACTGTCCACCAATAGCATTTCTGGTTCCCTTCTCATTTACTTGTGACTCTCAACAATGCTTTGGAATCATGAATATTCCAGTTCCACAAATATATCTCCCAGGAGGGCATCTTCTGTTTCTTTTTTTGTTTTGTTTTTGCGGTTATACAATGTACTCTTTGGTTCTGACTCTGCAAAAACCCGACGTCAATAATTAGAAAGGTTTCCAATCAGAATTGATAGAATGGGGTCATTAAAAAAAAACAGACAGCAAAAATAAAGCACTTAACTTTCTCACTGATAATTTGATCTGAAACACATTAATCAGCCATGAAGCTGGCGTGCTATGATGAACTGCCTTTCTGAGTAGAACTTAAAAGTTGCTCAACCGAGGCTGTTCAAAATATTTGCACAGTAATGCAGAAGTTCACCGAGAAAACCTGTTCCTTAGGGGTGGGATAGGTACCCTTTTAAAGATGTGTTCTGACAACCATCAGATAGGAATGACGATTTAGATTATTGCACCGAGCAGAGAACTGATATTCTAAACTGTCTCAACTGCTTTGATAATTTCATGAAATATTGTCAGTCCAACTAGGTATTTTATCCAACTGGGTAAATCAGAGCAGGAACTCAACTTTACAAGAAGGCTAAAGTTACTTGGCTATCATAACAAAACCTTGCCAGTCTGATGGTGCTGTACCTTTTCCTCCTCCTTAGGGTTCAATAAATTAGGAAGGCATCTGCCTGAGCCATTTTTGCAGGTGTATCTTCTGGATTTTTTTAAAAAAATTCATATTTCCGTCCTCTTGTCTCGGTAATAGATCCTGTATACCTCTGACAAGGTCATCTTCTTTACCCTCTATTTTTGCTGATACCTGCGAAGTAACAAGGAAACCAAAGGTCTTCAAACTGGGCAAGGTTAAGACTTGTGGACTTCAATTCCCAGAATTCCTGAGCTAACATGTCTGGAGAAGGAATTCTGGGAGTTGGAAGTCCACAAGTCTTAAAGCTGTCAAGCTTGAAAACCCCTGAACTAGACACTGGAAGAAAAAGCTCTATACGAATAGAAGATCCCTGAAGATGTTATCTAGCTTGGTAATAAAATGTCTGCAAGAAAACAAACATCATAGATTTTCAACCAAAGTATTTGCTTTTCTGCCTAATTCGCTGAGATGGCAGGAATTTGGAATGGAAAGGAGAACGTAGGGATGTAAAGAGAGAGGCTGGACATGAATGTTATAGATAAACCAAATAAATATAGACGAAATAAAATCTCTCAGTAGCTTTGTGTGGCCACTTAGCTACAGTCAAGCTCAGAGAACACTAAGGATCCCAGAGGTCATCTCCGTCTCCTCCTCCTCCTCCCCTTCCTCCTCTTCCTCCTCCTCCTCCTCCTCCCATTTGCTTTCTTCTCCACTCTTCAAACCCCATCCGCTTCTGTCACTGATGATGTTTCCTAGTTGGGTAATAAAACATCTATCGGAAAACAACCAAGCTTAGAGAGCACTAAGGACCCCACAGTTGTGATCATCTCATCTCCTCCTCCTCCTCCTCCTCCTCCTCCTCCTCCTTTCCACAGACCTCATCCTCTTGTGTCACTGATGATGTTACCTGCTTGGGTAATGAAACACCTGCAAGAAAACAACCAAACTCAGAAAACACCAAGGACTCAGCAAAAAGCTATTGTGCCCTGTGGCTAACCTTGCACTTCTAAAACAATGCCAGTCTTGTATATTCATCACAAACTATGGAGTCTCAAGGTTCTACTACGAGATGAAACAAGATCTCCCCGGGCCTATATTCTTCTCATCCTTCTTGCAATTCACTCGCCGGTCAGAACCCGAATTAAAAACTTCAACAGAAGTCCGGAGGGAGAGCAGGAAGCGTTCTAGAATGTTCTTTATGAATCCAGAGTGGCAGTTGAGTCAGGCAGTTGCAGAGAGACAGAGGCTGCGCCAGTTTGGAAGATCAGACAAAAAAAAAAAAATACTTTCGGGTGGAAGCAAATTGAAGGAGTAGCAACGCGAAGTGAGAGTGGAACATCATATATTCAATATCCGTCAGTCATCTCTTAGGAGAGCATTGGCACATGCAGGAGAGAATTAAGCAGCGCAGTCGGCTATAACAGAAGGATAAACCAACCTTATCAAGAGGAAGAGTGAAGTTCTCAGATTTGTAGTGCTAACTCAGGGGTCTGGGAGTATTTGCATGCCTTTCTGCTAAACTTTTATCCTGCTGGCCAATCCGTTACACAAAGTGGCCATACAAAACTCCTGAGAGTTTTTCTTTCCTCTCCGATTTCCGCTTGTGGAAAGGAACTCATTTCAAAAGAGGGCAGATTTGCAAAAGGCAACATTTTGAGGTGAGATCAAAGTGGTTTTTTAAAATATATATATATATATATATAGCATTCATATCCATTCTCCTCTCTGCAGCCTACACTCTTTTCTACTCCAAATTCCTGTCGGTTCAGCAAATTGGACAGAATGGCAATTGCTGTGTTTGAAAAATCTACTCTTTCATCACAACCTTAGCTCCAGGTTTAGGGTTCTTCTTCTCCAGCTCTTAGTGCTCATAATTGTTTTCCATTCTTTTCTCTCTCGCTTCTGGACCATGTTCAGAAGACAAGGTCCCATCCTTTCATCTCCATAAAATGGTGAGATCTTCCCTCCGCCGAATGAATGGATCAGTGTGACCCAGAACAATGCATTTAACACATTCCAAACTTGAAGCATGTACTCCATCAAAGGGAATGAGAATTGGTAGCAGCAAATATATTTCCACAGCACAGCCAACCAGAGGCAGCACTGACCCACACACAACCCACACATAACCCACACACAACCTCTCACCACCAGCAGATCGCCTCGCAATGACTCAGACCTGATATAATCTTATCACAAGACCCATCACAAGAACCTCACTTGACACACCCACTCCTGAAGCCCTTATAAACAGAAGAACACAGACATTGACGCCCCCTAAACTCTGCTGAAGATGCTACCTGACATTCAGAAACCAACCCATAAACTCGAAGACCGAACCTTCACCCACAAATGTATTTTGTTGTCACTAGGTATGCATGGAAAACTTAGGGTATAAACCATGCCTGAGGAAAAGTCCCACCAAGCTCTTGGCCTAGTTTTGATGCTGCTGCTTCTTACTTTAGAATCTGCCTTCCACTGGGGATCTGTATGCTGCACGAGTCAAAAAGCGGGCTGTGAAAATATCTACAGACCCTTCACATCCTGGACATAAACTGTTTCAACTCCTTCCCTCAAAATGATGCTATAGGGCACCGCACACCAGAACAACTAGGCGCAAGGACAGTTTTTTTCCTGAATGTCATCACTCTGCTAAACAAATAATTCCCTCAACACTGACAAACTATTTACTAAGTCTGCATTGCTATTACTATTAATCCTCCCATCCTTCCTTTCACCCATCTCCTCCCACTTGTGACTGTATGGCTGTAACTTTGTTGCTTGTATCCTAACGATTTATGTTGACTGTTTCCTAGTATGATTTGATTGCTTATTGTACTCTATGACTATTATTAAGTGTTGTACCTGATGATTCTTGACAAATGTATCTTTTCTGTTATGTACAGTGAAAGCACATGCATCAAGACAAATTCCTTGTGTGTCCAATCACACTTGGCCAATAAAGAATTATATCTATCTATCTATCTATCTATCTATCTATCTATCTATCTATCTATCACTCTAAGCTGTTCTTTCGAAGAAGAACACATGCAGAATTGGGGAAGGGAGGAGATGAGAAGAAGGCCACACAGACTAAGGGGACAGCCCAGGTTGGGCTTTCATTAAGTTATAAAGGACCAGAGTCTAGTTGCTTTGGTCTTGAAAAGTAGAGGATGGCTGCCAAACAGACTCAATCAGCTATGATCTATTGATAAATATTTTGGATCTTTCCATTTTTGCTGCTGAAAAAAAATGATTTAATGCTTCTGACATTAACATGGCTTTGCAAAAAAAAAAAAAAAGATCTATGCAGGTATATTTGCCTTTGACTGGCAGAGATTTCTGTTCATCTTCTGACTTCAAGCCTTCCAGTTTTTTTTTTCTTTTTTACCAAAAGGAAAATGAAAAGAATTGGTTCTTCAAAATTAACTGCCTTCTCTCTCTCTTTTTCCCCTTAAAAGAAAAAAAAATGGCTACGAACAGCAAACCCTGGTACCTTCAGAATGACGATATAATAGTGGAACATTATCTGCCTCCCACTGATCTGAACAAAACAAATATTGAAAAGACCTTCTACCAGAAATATTCACAAAGCTTAAAAACCATGATTCCCATCCGCTTAAGATCAAGGCAAGTTCCGCGTTTTCGTACTTAGAATATCGCGCCGAATAATATCCCTATGATTGGCACCACGACTCCTGAATGAATCAATCATCTAATTTATGATTATCAGAGACCTGGTTTTAGTTATTACCATTCACTGAGATGTAGTAGATAGGCAGTGTATTTAAATTAGCCTCATAAATCGATGCGCTTCTTTTAAAACATAGGAATAGGAACAGTCTTTGACTGTGGAAAATGAAGTCCAAAACAGGGTAAACACAAACTGTAACTTAAAGTCCAAATAAGCCAAACTGAAGTAATGAGTGTAGAAAGGCAGGAGCAAGAATTTCAGACTTGAAAACATAGCAAAACTCACACAGTTGGGAAGATGCTAGGAACACAGATAAGCCACAACAATACACGATAAAGTCACACTTGCTCCCAACAGCCTGCTACACACAGCTTGCCTTTTTTATACACTGTTTTCTCAGCTGCAGCTAATGAAGGGAATCAGGGCCCTTTCCTCCCCTGTAAGCCACGCAACCCACGTTGCTCTCTTTTCCGTTTCTCCCTGCGTGCTCTAGGATGAAGAAGAGGTGGGCTTTGTTCTTCCTCTGAGAGGAAGACCCTCTCCTATTTCTGTCCTGCTCTGCCCAGCCAGACTTTGCCCTTCCCCAGCCTCCTCCACAGCCAAGGGAGCCACACTCCCGCTCCCTGTCAGCTGTCCGTCTTCCTCTCAGATTCAGACTCTGACAGGGGCATGGCAGGCAATCTGCCCGTTCTTTGGGCACTTATGAGGCAGAAGGGTTGAGAAGGTTAAAAGGCCATAAAAAGGCCTATCAAAGTTGGAGAAGGAAGTCTTCCTTACTTTAAAATCCCTACCTTCTGAATGCATCATCTTCACTCATCGTGGGCGCGAAGTTTTCAATAGGCTCCCCTTAATAGTAAGAAGGTTGCTCACCCCAATTTAAGCCTTTGGCATGCAGCATTTTTTGGGGGGGCTGCTGAACACACCTAAGTGATGCACTAGATGGTCACATTCTAAAATGTAGGTGTATCTGTCAAGCACAGGAGAAATCAGGAGATTCAGGCAGTTAAAATGAGTATAGAGGTTTATTGCAAGCTTAAGCTCTCTACAAAAATCTGAGCTACTAACGGTCAAGGGAAACGAGCGAGAGATATAGTATTCAGAGTTGGCTGGACTTCTGGGAATGCAGGAATTCGTGTTTTATGACACGTTTGACCCCTCGGTCTCAGCCTGGTCATCTCCTACAGTATCTTTCTCCTTTTTTGCCAACCAAGATTGCAATATCTGGCCTTTGGTGCCTCCTTAAAGTTTTGGAAAAGGAAGCAGGCTAGCATGTTGGTTCAGGGATCTTGGATTGTGCCAACTTGTGGAAAAATATACAGCTGGTTTTGGAATGGGAAAAGCACAGATGAACCATTCAAGGGGAAACTTTCAAAAAAAACCTCCTCAGTCCTGGGAAAGAAAAAAGCTTAAGAAAGAACCTCAATAATCCCATTTTGATTTTTGTTTGGTGTGAGATAGGGCAGAGAGAACCTGATACAGGGATCCCCCAACTTATGACCACAATTGAGCCTAATATTTGTTAAGTGAGTTTTGCCCGCTTTTTCAACCTTTCTTGCCACTGTTAAGTGAGCCATAGCAATTGTTCAGTTAGTAACCGCGTTGTTAAGTGGTTTAACCATTGACCATGCTTGTCAGAAGGTGGCAAAAGGGGATCACATGACCCCCGGGGCATTGCAACCATCATAAATCTGAATCAATTGCCAACCGTCTGAATCGCATGATCACTGGGATGCTGCAATGGTCGTAAGTGTGAAAAATGGTCAAAAGTCACTTTTTTCCCCATGCCATTGTAACTTCAAAACGGCCACTAAATGAATGGTTATAGGTTGAGGAATATCTGTAATTGTTTCTTTTTTTAAAAAAAAAACCCAACCCTTGTTTGCTCAGCTGTTCCCCATTCCTGAGGCCAGCTTTACATTCTTCACACATTCACAGCCCGATTTTACACTTATTGTAGAAATTAAATGATTGGCAAGCATGGGAGAATTGTTGAGAACTCAAAGCTGGAGTAAATTAAAAAAAAAAAACCATGTCTTACCCATTTTCACTGCTGAAAAGAGAACCAAAGAGGCTGACTTCTCAGAGACAGCTATTCAATATCCCGTGAAAAGATTAGAGAACACATTCTCAAAGGCCATGGCTGCCGGAGATGAGGAAAAGGTCTCACTGATGAACAAGTGTCAATCAAAGCGATGATTAGGAGGACCAGATGGGCAATGGTCCAAGGCATATGGAAGCTTTTGATCCCTGTAATGTCTTCCCCCTTCTCCCAGTGGCTAATTCCCCCTTTTTTTGCCCGACCTACAGGTCTTCCAAGAACCCAGTTGACAGTGCTGGACTTTTCTCATTTGCTACCTATTCTTGGTTTTCCTCTCTAATGCTCCAAGGATACCGGCACAAAATCGATATAGCCATGTTGCCTCCTATCTCTTACTACGACAGTGCTGAACCAAATGCCAAAAGGTACGGCTGTTGGGGATGCGGTTATTATTTCTAAAATCTCTCTCAGCCCACTCCAATCTTTCTGGAGTGAAGGAGGTGGCCTGGTTTGCATTTGTGGGACTTTGAAGATCACAACCCTAATATCCCCGTTTCCCCAAAAATAAGACCTATCCGGAAAATAAGTCCTAAAGTGATTTTTCAGGATGCTCGTAATATAAGCCCTACCCCCCAAAAAGCCCCAGTTAAGATCATTAGCCCGTCGGGTGCATTTTCGTACCATATTTTCCTCAAAATAAGACCTAATGTGTTTTTGGAACCAAAATTAATATAAGACCCGGTCTTATTTTGGGGGAAACAGTTGTTTATAAGAAAATAACAAGTCTGTTGGCATCCTGCTGTATCTTTCCCAAAAGGAGAATGAAAACAGGGCAGTGGGCCAAAGCAAGACTTTGTAATTTCAACATGTTTTCGGTTGCATGTGGAAAATTATCATCCTGGTTTAAGTCTTCTTTACGGAAATCCTTTGGAGAAGGGGCGCATTAAGAAGAGACTGGACAACCATTTGTCTGAAATAATATAGGGTTTCCTGCCTGAGTAGGGGACTGGACTAGAAGACCTCCAAAGGTCCCTCCCAACTCTGTTATTCTGTTATTCCTTGCAAAGTGGAAGACCAGTGAAACAAACAGTGGAGTAAAATACCAACTTTGAGATAAGACATTGGCCAAGCCCTTATTGATACTTATCCAATTCTGGATTTGAATGCCTGTTTAAAATGAGATACCCTGTTATAATTTCTCAATTTTTCATCTGGCCTTTGTAATCATGGACCACAGAGACTTTAACAAACATCGGGCATGGAAGAAATAGGTAACGTGAGTCGTTTGCGCTTTTTCTTTTTTACAGATTTCGACTCCTTTGGGAAGCTGAGGTTGCCAAAGTCGGACTTGAGAAAGCTTCTTTACACAAAGTGTTTTTTCAGTTTCAAAGGACAAGGATTTTCATGGACATAATTGCTAATATTCTTTATACCAGTTTTGGTGTTTTGGGGCCAGTGAGTACCCAGGAAGTACATGTTGAGAGCTGACACCGATAACCTTTCAAAAGATTTCAGAAAGAGAATTTGATGGGGTGATTTTTCAAAAAAAAAAAAAAAAGTTCTCCAGGGGCAAAGAGGACATTTCAAAGCCTTGTTGGAGGCAGAGCTTTTGATAAATCCACCCCTTAATCCAAAGGCTACCCTGGAGTGGGTTTCTGATGTCTTTCTCTGGGATTGAAAGAATAGGTGGGAAGCCAAATACCCTGGAATGGGACAACTTGGGACAGCCAATGCGCCATGGCCAACTCACCGCAGCCAACTTGATGTAGCCATCTCGCCATGGCCAACTCGCAGGGGGACAAATCATTGCAGGACAATTCAACAATTCCGTTGAAGTATTTAAAATAAATTTAAAAATCATCTTAATTTTTGTCATTCATATATCATTTTGTCCCTCCTTTGGCATCCTTTCTTTAATGAGTCAATTCCACCATTTCTTTGATAGTAGCGTAACTCTTGTCCTGCACTGAATTATCCTATGGTGAGTTGCCCACAATGAGTTGGCTGGGGCAAATTGGCTACAAGTTAGTCATGGCAAGTTAGCCATGGAGTCGTGGAGAGTTGGCCATGGAGAGTTGATCATGGCGAGTTGGCCACACCGAGTTGACCATGCTGTAGATTCCAGTTGCTTTGTCTCTAAGAGCAAAGAGAGAGGGGGGGAGGAGAGAGGAAGGAAGAGAGAGGGGGAGGGCGGAAGAGAGAGGGAGAGAAGGAGAGCTGGAGAGAGGGGGGATGGAGAGGGAGAGGGAGAGAGAGGGAGAAGGAGGGAGGGATGGAGAGAGAGAGAGAGAGGGAGAGAGAGAGGGGGAGAGATAGAAACCCATTTTACTTTTAAGTCACTCTATTGCAATTGGCATCTGCTTTGAAAGAAATTTCAAAACCAAATCCTCTCTCATCAAATTGAATGAGAATCAATAGACCAACCACTGAAGCACGCCTCTGCCTACTGCTATTGCATTTATAAATGAATTTTTTAAAAGAGAGAGAAAGATCTTATTTCAGTGAAACACTCACACCATATACAAAAAGATCCTACTTTTGGTTCTTTGACACAAACTTGACAGAAATATTTTCTTAGGCTAAGAATCACATCAATCTTGGCATTGCCATCATCCTGAGTAATCTAGAACCACAGCTTGAGCTTGTGATTTTTGTAGCAGAACACTGTTTTGATGATGATAAGGGTGATGTCCGTTCTGATGACCCAAACATTGCTAAAAGGTGTCTTCTCCCAATTCTGCTTCAAATTGTAGAAAAACACTCAAAAGAAATCGACAAAAAAAAAGAGAATTTAGGTTGCAAATAATACTAGATAGATGATCCAATACTCTGAAGATTATTTTATGCTGGGAGAGTGATGGTTACACCTCTACTGCCTGGGAAACCTGTCAATCTTTTTGCACAGATTTTAAACTGATTTTAAACAGGCAGTATTGAATAATATCAACTGCTTTAAAAAAAAAATCAGCTTAACAATGCAATTTCCCTCCAAAAAAATTACGTTTATGTTTTGGCAGACCCTGATCTTCCATAACATCCTCCAGTACAATGACAAAGATTCAAAGGACTTGCTGGAGGGTATTGGCCTCTGCACGGCCCTTTTTTTCATGGAATTTTCCAAAGTTGTGTTGTGGTCATTGACGTGGGCTATCAACTATCGCACAGCCATCAGGGCAAAGGTTGCTGTGACAACTATCGCTTTTGAGACCTTGCTGACATGTAAGTCCTTGAAACACGCATCTTTAAGCAAGGTAAGATTTGGAGATCACATCCTCCTCTGATTTCCTACCCACATTTAATTTGCAAAATGGTTCATGGTGGAGATCTTGTGAATTTCTGATTAACGGGTGGAGTCAATGGTGATGTCTAATCATGATACAATACAGCATCTTTAGAATTTAATGTAAGGAATAACAGCCAAAGAAGACAATGCAATGGCCTTCCTGTCCCTTTTCATAGCTTCCCAACATCTTCTTCAGAGGTAGTATTCAGCAGGTTCTGAGCAGTTCTGGAGAACTGGTAGCAGAAATTTTGAGTAGTTCAGAGAACCGGCTAATGCCACCTCTGACTGGCCCCACCCCCATCTATTCTCCACCTCCCGAGTCCCAGCTGATTGGCTGGGTCTTCTTTGGTTGCCCTGCACAGGAGAACGGAGCTGGAAAGCAGGTTAGTGGGGTAGGGAGGGAATGGGGATTTTGCAGTATCCTTCTCCTGCCATGCCCACCAAACCATGCCCACAGAACCGGTAACAAAATTGTTTCAATCCCACCACTGATCTTCTTGGCTATTGTGCCAGTGATGGTCTACAACAGGGGTCTTCAAACTTGACAATGAACGTGGTGTAATCCTCCTGACCCAGCTAGTTGTCTTACATCGCTAATTCATATGAAGAATAATACATACGTACATAATACCTAATATATATTTACATTCTATATACATAATATATAATAGTAATTAGTTAATCATATATAATAATTAGTCATTTTTAATACTCCTGATCCTTCCTTTTTTCCAACCAGTGGTAAAACTTTTTCCATATTTTATAATATTCAAATTCGTCCTTATTTTTTTAGTTCTTGTGTCAATTTGTCCATTTCTGAGCATGTCCAAATTTTTCTAATTATTTCTATTTCGTCTGGTATTTCCTTACATTTCCATTTTTTTGGACGTAAATTAATCCTGCAGCTGTGATTACATGTATTATTATATACATTATATCTTCATTATATTTCTCTAAATTGATTCCCAATTAAAAAAAATCCGGTTTGTATTCTACTTTAATTTCACACGTCTCTTCTAACCATCCCTGGATTTTGTGCCAAAAATTTTGGGCTTTTCTGCAATTCCACCATACATGATAATACAATCCATTTTCCTGAACACATTTCTAACATATAGGGGATAAATTTGGGCACATCTTAGCCAATTTTGTTGGGGGGATATGCCACATGCAGGATCATTTCTGAGCAGTTTCCTCGTTGCCTTTCAGTTGATTAATTTCTTAGCCAATGATGGTTTCCGGATATTTGAAGCCGCTTTGTTTGGCCCCATGCCCATGTTGGCACCTCTTTTGATCATAGTTTGCACCATCTATTCCTGTGTCCTCCTTGGTCCAACAGCACTGATGGGAACATTCATTTATGTTGCATTTATACCATTACAGGTAAAAACGTTTTCCTTTTCTACAAAATGGTGATGCGTCGTTTGTACCAGAAGATCTCACCGATGGTTCTCTCTCTGTGTTTATTAAAGAAAGAAAGAAAGAAAGAAAGAAAGAAAGAAAGAAAGAAAGAAA